CAGTGTGCGTGTAACTTGATATTCCGGTCCCCGGTATTAACGTCCAACCCCACCCTTCCGGCCACCCCCCCCTTCCGGCCACCTCGCTTAATTGCAACACTCTCTATTTAAGACCTAATAACTCTACTCAGCGTCAACTTCAATACAAGATATTGTAGAATCTGATTCTCCTCCTGATTCTGGTTCTACAGGTGTAATTTGACGTTCTCCAGCTACAATTTGAGCCTCTTTAATAGCACGTATTGTAGCAAACTTAGAATTTGGACTCGTCTGAACCTTCCTCTTTTTCTTTGGCCTCAGGTGCTCTAATCTCTCTTCCAACTCTTTGATTCTCATATTTGCCTTCCCTAATTCGTATTCCTTTTCGTCGATTCCTTTTATAACCTTCCTGAAAAGCAAACGTTGCGTTGGAAGTTGGTCATGTGACCCACTAGCCAAATTGCGAATCTGTAAGTACAGATCTTTCCGTACCTTTGGAGTCTGTAACTCAATTGAAGTATTAGAAACCTTCGGAGGTTGTATTGGCGTCTCGTGAGGCTTTAGGAGCGCTAGATTTGTCGATTTATTACTGTTTTCTAACAGTAAAGGGCTCATCAGCGGCTTGGCGACAGATACCGGCCATAGACCTGTAGTCCTCCACCCTGCTTTGATATTTGAGGGTGTAATACTCTCTTGACGTGCCTTTTGATAGCAAATAAGAAAGTTGCGCTTGCCAATTGGTGTAGAATCGATTAAAGAACTCAACTTTTGCAGCTCTTTCCGGTACGCACGCTTGAGTGACGAGAAAACCGTCAAATCGAGAGGTTGTAAGACGTGTGACGTATGTGCCGGTAAGAATAAGAGATATATATTATACTCAAGGCACTTCCAAAGGAATTCTGTTGTCTCGTGGCTCCCATGGCCGTCTAGAATGAGGAGTCTTGCTGAATGATCACGTGGTTGAGTCTGAGGGATAAACACCTTCTCTAGCCACTCTAAAGCCGTGGCATCAGTCGTCCACCCATTTTCGGTTGCTGTGAAGTGCCAATTGTCGAATAGATCCAATTGAGACGGAAACCACTGTTGTTGTACTGATTTCCCCTTATATACTACAGCTGGATCTGTCGAAGCTCCGATTGCTGAGATACACTCAAGAATTGTCGTCCAACCACGAGAACCTGGCTGTTTCCCTTGTACTGTACGTGTTTCGGCACTCCCTACAACATATCCATTAAGACCATGACCTTCCATAATACCTGTCTCGTCCATATTCCATCGTTGGCTGGCTGGAATAGCTCTGATTGCCGGAATCTGTAGTTTTTGGAACTAAGGCCTAATAACTTCAGATCGAGCGCAATTGACTCGTACAGAATCAACAGGGATTTGCTTTTTGGTCTTGAGAACAGGATTACGAGCCAAAAATCGTGTAATCCAGTGTCTTCCGAGTGGTTTGTGATCCCCTTGAAGAACTAGAAGCCTCTCCGCAAAAAGCCAAATCTATGCGTGCGTAACTCCATGGCCAAGAGCCTCTTGATTTAGTACCCAATCGGTCAATCGTTTCTCTACTACCGTAGGTAGTCTTTGCAAGTGGCTAGCACCCTCTTGACGTGACTGAGTCGTTGTGTTGCGATCTTGAAGGGTACTCCTTGGAACACCCCACTCAAGCGATGCCTTTCGTACAGATTTGCCATTTGCCACTTCCTCCAAAGCAGATTCGATGTCATATTCAGTGTATTCAGGCTTCATGATGTGAACAATTCGTACTCCAAATTTCAAGAAAAACGATTAGAGAATAAAATAATTATTAATTATTAAAGTGAAGTAATATAAGTAGCGGTGAGGTTAAGCGAGGTGGCCGGAAGGGGGGGGGTGGCCGGAAGGGTGGGGTTAGACGTTAGAGTCTCTAACTGACAAGGTCGCGAACAGCCCGTGCGTTTACAGTTATGCCATTGGTGTGGTGCTTCGGGTGAGTTTGATATTTTTACCTCTGTACATTTTATTAAATATAGATTTTGACCTTCGCCAGTCCTGAAAGACAAAACTCATAGTGAAACCAGATCGATCTTAGGATCTACACTTGGAGGCGCATTTTCCAGGCCAGTTTTTGGATACCCATACCTCTTCGCGAAGAGGACAATATGGGAAAGGTTTCCATACCTTCTTCCCAACCTGCTATGCACGGTTGTCGCGTCTTTTGGTCTAGCGATCGGGATCTTGTTCCTTGAGGAGACTCATGCAGAGAAGAGACTTCGACACGATCCTGGCTTAGCAGCCGGCAAATGGATTCTCAGCAAGTTTACACTAAACGCGAACTCGAAGGCATTGCGATCAGAAACGATGGCAAATCTCGATGAAGCGTTGCTTTTGCTGGGCGATGAAAAACCACCAGGATACGACAAGTCTAAGGGACCACCTGATCCACATTCCACTCTATTATTCGAACCATAGGAGGCTCTGGATCGCAATGCTTGGCACGTTACACCGATATCAAAGCCAACTGCAACAAAGGCATTTGCGGAACCAGTTGTTCCAACCATTGTCGGCTATAGTATCCTAGCTTAGTTAGTTATGAACTCTTTCTCCTGCAGGCCAGGTAAAACAACTGACTCGTGATTCTCAGCCATATTATGGCTTTTGATACTATGCTTCCGACACTCCTAAGCACGCCGCCTCCGAAAACTCTAGAATGGAACCTGCCTTTCCAGTTCGTTAGTGGTTACGGTCTCAACCCTATGGAAATCGGACTCATCATGTTGGTTCAGGGTATCTACTCTTTATTCGCAACCATGGTGATTTTCCCAATCATTGTTGGAAGATCGAGCGCGTTGGGTCTATTCAGGCTAATCACTCTCTCGTATCCAGTTCTATACTTCTCGACGCCGTACTTCGTGCTCCCTCATGGCACTATTCCATTGACCGGAGTCTATGCATTGATCGTCTGGAAATGCACATTCGCAACTCTAGCTTACCCCAGCAACGCTATCCTCCTCACCGATTCTGCACCCTCCCTTCTCATACTTGGAACGATCAACGGCGTCGCGGCATCCGCCGCTTAAGCCGAGCACTCGCACCCACTGCCTCCAGAGTTTTATTCTCCGCTGGACTCGGACTAGGCTACTCCGGTCTAGCATGGTGGTGCACTGCAGTCATTGCTGTCGTTGGGGCAATCATCAGCTTAAACTTGCCTGACAAAGGGCCAAATGGACGTCGATAAGAAAAGCGATCTAGAAACCAGCTTCGCAGATTTCATCTCTGCGGCAATCCGTTGGACTCTGTGATCGCTGCCGCGGAGCTGAGACTACAAGTGCTGGACTAGAACAAAGCGGTTATCCTCAAGTAGTGGACGACCTGGATGCGTCTCACATATAGCAAGAATTCCACCTGGTACTTCAGCCAGTAACTGAACGGGTCGCTTGCAAATATTATCGTATCTAACGTCGTCTCGTCAAGATCCGGTGCACTCTTTTCCGCACTGCGAAGGATACTGACAACGAATGGCAGTCGCGCTGCCACCTGGCGGAATGCCTCCGGCTGGCTTTGCCATCCCCAGCGGCATCATATATCGTTTTAGCTGCCTCAAAGTTCGATATCACGTCCGACATGAGGCCAATAACAAAGCCAGCCTCGGCGCCGGACATGATGGGCAGTTGGCCACTTACGGGCTGGCCGTGTGTAGACGATCGATGTGCGAACTAGTCGCTCGGTTATTGATGGGACGAAGGAATGCGGTCCCGAACCCATTCGAGTACAGTCGCGGGACCTGTACTATTGATCTTGTCTTGAGTAAATATGATTAAGGATGTTTGGAGGTTGTCCCAGCATCGCATGAGAAGCAATAGATTTGTTTGATGGATTCTAGTACTTCGCCAGCTTAGTATAGTAACTTCAAATTGAACCTATTAGTCAATACAAACTATTCAAGAAGCTGATCTGGTAGTACTATATGAGAAACCTGCCTGGCAGCTTAATGCTACATACTGTTGCAAAATACGGCGAAGGATAAACTACGTCTGTTGGGATTAGTTACTTGCATCAAACAATGCCATCATGGAGATTATAGTTGATGCTTGTACTTTAAAGTGAACTTTCGATTAGCTGATTGGATCATGCTATTGGTGATCAAAGACTGGATCGGGTCACGCCTGAAGAGCTATAATACAAGAAGGGACCTTGATTAATTATAGCGAAACGATACTAAGTTTTACTATTAGCAGTGCACTTTAATAATTAAAACCTTACGATAGCTCGAATATATTATATTACTTTCTTAGATACAGTTTTAAGGCTTAATAAGATTTATAATTTAGTGAAACAATTATGAAAATCTGAATATTTATTATGAAGTTACAAATTTAAATATTATTTAAGGAGTATTATTAAAAGGAGTCTTTATTAATAATTTCGGTTAAATCTTAGTGTAATTCTTATAAGAGTTATATAACGAAATAAGTTAATTAAATGTAAGTATTTTAAGTATAACTTAATAGTTATAACATTATATAAGTATTTATTATATAACAAAATAAATAAATATTAAATATTAAATAAGTTATATAATGTAGTGGTAACACATTAAGTATTCTTAATACTTCTTGAACTTTAGTTTGATTCCGAATATAACTCTTGGTGAGGATAACTTCATTATTTATTAAAAGGATTAATAAAAAGTGTTGGGATTTTTACCTTTTTTTTTCTCCCGAAGTCTTACCGTCGTTTAATTACTTTTTGAATTCGAATACTAATAATAATTATAGCTTTAATTAAAAGCTATAAGTGTATTTAAAAACCTAATATAAAGTTATTAATTAAATAAAAAAAAGTTAAACTATTATAAGGTTTTACTCACTAAAGAGATTATAAAACCCACCTTTTTTTAGTACTCAAGCCTTACAACGACCTTATCTTAAAAATAAAATCTAATAACTTATAATATTAAGTTTATTTAAAAGTATAAAGATATTAAAAAAATAAAAAATAAAAATAAAAATTAATAATATTATTAAAATATTAAAATAAAATAACGACTATAAATGGAATCGAACTACTCCAACTAAGGTTGCTAATGGAACCTTGATATGCTACCACTACATTATATAGCCTAAAATATATTATAGTAAACTCTTATTTTAATATATAAAGAGTATAATTATTAAATTTTATTAAAGAAAATATATAATAAAATAAGAAAATAATATTTATCTTATAGGCTATATAGTGTAGTAGTAACACATTAAGTATTCTTAATATTTCTTTATCTTCGGTTCGAATCCGAATATAGCTCTTAGCGGGAATAGCATCAGCCTTTAATAAAGGATGGGGCTATTCCCACTTTTTTTATTTTTGAAGTTTTGTTTTCGCTTAATTACTTTTTAATTAAGAAAATTATAATAGTTTTAATATTTTTAATATTTTTAATAGGCTTGTAAGCGAGAGCTCGCAGAATTACAGTGGTGTACCGATTATTACCCGGCGTAACCTTCGAAAGTGTATTCTCGAGCTCTACTAAAAGCACATCACGAGAAAAATAAAACCTTTCACCGGATTCCAGGACAATTTATCTTCCAGCTGTTTTTTCATTAAAGCCACCGCCGCTGGCTAGTGTTACAGCTCTGGGGGCTGCAAGGGCTGCAACCATGCCCCACGTGACTATAAGCGAGGTTGGCATAAAACCACCTCTGCTTGCCTGAACCTGAACTTTCTCTCCTTAGCTTTGTATTCTAAGTTATAAAT